AGTCCCCCTCCCTTATGCATGGACCTTTCCTGAGGGWGGCGAACCAATGGAGAGGGAAGCTCTCGATGAGATCGCCGAATGCTTTCTCGGTGAGATGGCAGTACCGCAGCCATGTACGCATCCTTTCTATACTCTTCCAGTTACCGGCCTCTCGATCCCAAAGATCCCCACCTCTCACGGCTCCGTGTTTTACCCAACCTTTCCATGGGGCCTCCAAACTGTTTCGCACTTGTCCTTGGGAATCTATTATTAGGCGGTTACCAAAAAGGGGTTGACTAAATATCTCCTCCCACCTCTCTGGTGTTGATCGAAGTGGAGGGGGAAGTTTCCTCCAAGTGCGTATGAGGCGCACCCATTGTTCGTCAAAAGGGTCCCCAATCCTATACTTTATGGGCAACCTCCAATACCTCTCTTCTAACCATACTCTAGGGTCAGTCTCAAGTGGGGATTCCGAGGCCAAATCAGAAATTTGTGCCCGCGCCAAGGGGACCCAAAGGGATGATATAGAGAAAATAATGTGCTGAAGCCAGCGAAGCGTAAGGGCTTGGAATAGTGTGTGTGACTGGTTCTCCTATTCCATAGCACTGCAAATCCACTAAAGCTCAGTTTTGAATATTCCATAGCACTGCAACCTATACTCTTCTCTCAATTTCACCTCTCACACTAACTACCTACCTACCACTACTCCTAATAACTGTAGGCATACGGGGAACCCTGTAGCAGCTGCTCCCGACCTGCTACGTGGCATTGCAAATCTACTAAAGCTTTGTTTTGACTATTCCCTAGCACTGCAAATCTGCAAATCTACTAAAGCTTGATTTGACTATTCCATAGCATTGCAAATCACCTAAAGCTTGTTTTGACTATCTTCCATAGCACTGCAAATCTACTAAAGCTTGTTTTGACAGAGGCAACATATCAGGAAAGTTCAATGGAGGTCGTAGGAAACATATCAGGAAAGTTCGATGGAGGTAGTAACTCAGCCGATACGTGATCCAGATTTGGCAGTCGCAAGGTCTGGTTTAGGACCACCACCCTCCACTTACGGTTGTGCCTTTTTCTCTACTCCCTAAATCCAAACAAGCGAGGCGCTTAAAAAAAAGGAAAAACAAGGCAGGTGTCATTTCTAACCTAACTGCCACCCACCAGGGCGAGGTCCCACTACCGGTAGCAACGGGATAGAATAGAAACGAGCTTGGGGGGCAGTTGAGTGGCCCAAATCCTGTCGTGCAGTACTCGTGATCCCCCCCCATCGTCAACTGCCTGAGTCACCCCCATCGTCAACTGCCTGAGTCACCCCCATCGTCAACTGCCTGAGTCACCCCCATGAGTGTACAATGCCGCAGCTCATTAGCATTACCCTCGGGGGGGGAATGGCATACCCCTGCGAAATCAGAAAAAGCCATGTCGTCGTCATAGCTCGGTAAATCATCACACATGATATCATTGCCCGCATCAGCCTGCTGGGTAGATGACAAATCAATTGTAAAAAAACTTCCAGAACAAGCGGGGGAACAGCATCACCTACCTCCGCCGAAGCACCGTTGTCAAACAATAATGACGATGCCTTCTGACCTTCCGCGGCCTGTTGGTGAGACTGTGAAACAAATGTCAACAGAACTTCCGAGCAAGCACCCGGATCGCCACTCCCACATCCATCAAATCTCCATTATTCACTACAACAGCCTCAGACTGATAGCCAAACGATACTGCACCATGAGATCGTCACCCAATTCATCACTCGCCTGAGCAAACGGCCGCTGTTGCTGGTTACAGGAGTAATCGGTGATGTCGCTGCTGTAGATGTTGCAATTATCGATATTGCTCTTGTTGCCGCTGTTGATGTTGTTGATGTTGATAATGTTGCTGATGTTGTTGATGCTGTCCATGTCACACTATCCTGACCTTCAGATGAGAGCAACTCACCTTGTGGACTACCCACGTCTCTCCTTGCTAGAAGCCCGGCAAACATGTCTTTCACCTGCGCCAGGATCCCAGCACAGGGCAGCCATCGCCTGTGCTCTGTCAATCATATCCAACTGTTGAAGAGAGATCTGCTCGTACTGTTCCTCCTCCCACCCATCGTAGATCTCCTCTCCCTCCAACAAGATGTCATCTGGTAGATTGACATATTCTTGACTCGGCAATGCGTGCATCTGCTGCAGCTGCTGTTTGTACAGGGTCACAATGAACAGTGCAGAATCTGCCTGCACAGGCTGCAGGGCAGGAGGGGTTTACCACAGCCCCCCATCAGGCATGGTCTCCGTGTCCATCTCTGCTGTCGTTATTGATGTCAGAAGCTAACAGTGCTGCGCCGCAATCACGTTTTTTCAACAAATTCCCAGCTGGCGCTACCCCTGTCCGCACATCACGGGACACCCACGTCACCAACAGCAGCTGCCACATGGCAATCTGCCGAGCACACGCACAGGCCTAGCAACCGAGGAGCTCCCTCCCCCCAGGCACTAGTGTAGCTGGCTGACTGGGCCTTGCCACCTTGCCGGTTGGGCGGTGTCGGGGCGCTAGCGCTAGCGCAGCTCACCACCACCTATCAGTGTCCTAGGTCCCACCACCAACACTAACCCTAATCCCCTCCTCCTCTCCTTAACACTGGGTATGCACGTGCAAAGACAGCTTCCCGCCAGAATCTTTTCAATCGGTTGGGGGTGTGGCCAACCCCAAAGGAGGGCGGGGTCTGCCTTAGGCCCACTGGATAGAATATTTTCAGTATTTTACTTGCTGTTGTGCAATTATCTCAATCACGGAGTACATGGAGGGTGTCAGGATCACTGCGGATAGAAGGACGAGATGCCATTGGCAAAGAGGATTGTAGTAAGTGTCTGAATGTGGACGTGTTTGTGGACCAGTGCAAAAATTTGTGATTGAACTAGTTTTCTGCACCTCTGCGTGGAACACGTCCAGATTCAGACACTTCTTCCAATCCTCTTTGCCAGTGGGATCTGGCCCAGAAGTAGAGTTTATTCCAGAAAATGTGGCCATTACTTTGTTCACTGTTGTTGCAACCACCACCAACAGATCATTTCTGATCTGATGGCTGGGAAGCACTCTGCCGTCATTTCGGGTGGGAGGTCTCTGTTTTTTTTTTTTTCTTCTTTTGCCTTTCTCAAGTTTTTTCAGCCCAGAAATTCATAATCAACCTGTCAGCCCGCTGCCACTCAGTGTCACACTGGATCGGCCACACTCCTATCCCACTGCTAATAGGACCTCGGGCCCGAATGAATTCTGCACTACCTTCTTCGCCCGAATAGAACGTACGGTCATTCGCGCTGCATCTGGACTGCAGGTTGGTCCAAATACGGCTAAATTGACCGTACATTCTATTCGGGGGAAGACAGAAGCATCACCTTTCAGATCCATGATCCATGTTTACCCTCGTCTAAGGGAACTGTGGTCCTCGCTCCACTGCACAGCACTCGAAAGTGCATCTAGACCTGCCAATGGCCGCAATACATTTCAACACGTTTGATCAGTCCGAATGTACCTGGTGCGATGCCTGGCCAGGTACATATCGATGTTGCCTAGTGGCGTGACGTTATCGGATAACGCATCGACAATCCTAATCACACACCTGGACGGCGATCCCTTCGTTCTGTGGACCACAAAAGGTCAAAAAAGAAAAAGAAGAGGTTCCGCACGTTCTCGACTACCCCAGGAGCGGAGACGTGGCCAGCTTCTCTCTCACCATCTTCGTCGGTTCCCTTTGAACCCTTTCCCGTAGGTCTCGACTTCGGTTCAGACCGATGGGACCATCTTACCGGTTAAATTTTCTTCCACAAGTTACTTCACTCTCTCTCTCTCTCTCTCTCTCTCTCTCTCTCTCTCTCTCTCTCTCTCTCTCACACACACACACACACAC